ATTGAGTTAAGTGAATTTTTGGTAGATTATGCATAACGTATTTGTACCTTATGCTTAATCAACTTGTACCTTGGACTCCTTTTGTGTCAAAAGTTGACTTTATACCTATTTTGACATAAAACTGAGAATCTTGACTTGAAGGATTAAATCCGCCAAATAATTAAACTTATATATATATATATATATATATATATATATATATATGTATATATGTGTGTGTGTGTGTGCGCGCGCGCATGAGAAGGCATTTCATTCACCGCCTCTTTCTCTCGTTTATTTCTCTTTCTAAAACTCTCGTCTTCTCTCTAAATTTTACGTCAAGTTACGAAGGGAATAGAGGTAACAAATATATATTCGGAATCAACTCTCCGAACCCTTCTTAAAGGTATAAGTTTTATTCATTTTTATTAGGGTGTTTATGTTACGGTTCTTGAGACCGGTTTATAAATTATGTTTATGTCTAAGTTTACGAATAGATGTCAAATTTATGATATATTTCATGCTTAGAATGCTAAGATTGGTTAATTTGATGTAGAAATAAAATGCATGATTAAGCTTAGGTTAGCGACCATTGGACTTGTTTTACTGTTTAATATGTTGAAGTATGTTTATAGTATGTAAATGTAGCGAATCATAGAAGTTGGATCATAAAAGTTAGTCGAGAATTACAGAATCGGATTTTACCGACAATGCAGCTCCCGTACTTTGACAGTGTACAACTTACAAGCCGTAAGTTGGAATAAGCTAGTACTTTGCAGTTAGAAAGATCTTACTATATACTACAACTTTCAAGAAGGGTCAAAAATCCAGTTATGACTCTAGGTGGCTCGAAACAGTGTGTTTTCAGGGCTGTTTACACTGTATTCGAGATTAATTTGCAGTTTTGTAAAATTCGTATAAAATAGATGGATGATCCAAATTAGATGATTCTAAAACTAATAGACTCGTATGATACCAACCTACAACTTTCATTTAGAAAATATAATATGGATTGGTCTCTAAGTAGGGTAAAAATGCTTAGAATTAAAAAAGACGAAAGCGGTTGGATTGAAAATGCATAAGACAAGTGTTACAGTTGAGTTTTCAATTCGTATTTGGCTGTCCTTCTTGAAGTCTACGTTGTTTAAGTACATTAAGACCTAGGTAATTTTATTAGAATAATTATGTTATGGTTTTTATGCTTTGTAAATAGTAACCCGTTTATGCATTCGTTACGCATGCGGACAAGTCAAACTTGATCGTGAATTTCGTTTGATCGTGCGTTAAATATCAAATTCGGTTAAGGTACGGATATCATATCTTCTTTGACACGGGGATAACCAATTGCATAAGGCTTCCTAATCCGGATAATCTATAATAAATTCCGAATAATTGGTTCTAATTTTCTTTTTATGCCTATTACATGTTATTGAACTTTGTTTCCTTCTGAACTATGACTTATATTTATTATTTGGAACATTAATCACTTGATCACTTGACTTGTTAGATTGTATTTATTGTGAATTCGTACTATAGACTCAATAACCGGAGCACCGGTATTGAGATGTTTCCATGGTGGCTAAAACGATCATGACGTCCTCATTTTTATAGTTCTTAAAGGTGGACTTGATTATGTACCGGTCGAATGGAGGGCGTATGGATCGATCCTAGGAACCGTTATCGGATAATAAATCGTGGCTGTGGTTTAATCCACATAGAGGATTTTTGTGTTGTGCTCGCACCCCTTTCCTAACTTATGCCTGAATGGATTGATCATCATTTGGGAACAACGCGTCCTCGTGATGCGGTTTGGTCTTCAGACCCTTGACATGCCTTCGGGGCATTTTGACTTTCTTTTGGATTTTCACTTACCTCTATAAATTGTTTTTGAACTTGTTATCTCATATTCATTGTTTAGTTACTATTATCCATTCACTGAGCATTAAGCTCAGCCGAGATTTTCATTGTCCTTGGCAGGTACACGACTTAGTAGGGATTTTGGGGTGAAAGCTACGGATATGACGATACTGAAGATAACCCATTACGTCATATTTTTGTTAACTTTTGATGACTAATGTAGATATACTGGTAATTTGGGACCGTATTTTGAGACACGTTATCTCCATCTGTGGTTATGTAATTATTTTATGCTAAATTTTATTAGCTACTCTGTTTTATATAACGCGTTGATTTGTTTTACCAATTGTGGCATCTCGCGTTTTTAACCACGCAGGACGGGGGTGTTACAAGTTGTGGTATCAGAGSTATAAGTTATGATCCTGTAGTACAATTTAGGTTTGATCTGTGAGGATTTGGTAGAGCTAAGATAGGATTATCCTAAGCCTTATACATGTTAACTATTTGGAATCTAATATGTATACTTGGTCAATTCCCAAATTGTCCTTTATTTATTGGCGATCAAATTCGGGAGGTTACTTTACTACCAATGAAAATGAATCACTGGCATTGATTGATTGTCTAAACATCGAGTGACTATCGATTGCAAAGCCAAACAAATCATCTTCGGTGACGTCAATGAACCTGAATATGCGTTCCAGGGTGTTTCACATGAGAAAGGGACTCGTGTTATCTCAGAAGTAAATGTTAAAACAATGGTCTGGCAAGGATGTGAAAGGTTTCTAGCTTCACTATAAGATCCCGAAGAGGTATGCCTTAAACTTGAATGTTGTTAATCAATTTGAAGATGTCTTTCCAGATGAACTTCCAGGAGTTCCTCCGGAAAAGAAAATTGAATTTACAATTGATCTTGTTCTAGGAGTTGCCCCTATCTCAAAGGCTCCCTATCGTGTGGCTCCAACCGAGATGAAAGAACTTAAGAAGCAACTTGAGGACCTTTATAGTCGTGGTTTCATTAGACTAGTGTATCTCCATGGGATGCACCAGTCCTATTCGTTAAAAAGAAAGATGAATCGATGCGATTGTGTATTGACTACCGTGAACTAAATCGGGTCATGGTACATAATAAATACCCTTTACAGTATTGACGATATCTTCAATCAACTCCAAGGAGCAAAGTATTTTTCTAAGATCGACTTAGGGTCTGGATATCACCAACTCCGGATCAGAGATCAATATATTCTTAAGACTGCATTCCATACTTGATATGGTCATTATGAATTCATTGTTATGCCATTCAGATTAACTAATGCTCCAGCAGTTTTTATGGATCTTATGAACCAGGCTTTCAAATATTATTTGGACGACTTTGTTCTCGTTTTTATTGACGATATTCTCATATATTCAAAGTTGAAAGAAGATCACGAAACTCACTTGCGTATTACTTTAGAAACTCTTCAAAATAAAAAGTTGTACGCAAAGTTTTCTAAATGTGAATTTTGGTTGCATCAAGTGGCATTTGTGGGCCACATTATCTCTGGTGAAGACATTAAAGTCGATACTACAAATTGAGGCTATCACTAACTGGCCAAAAAACAAACAAATGTTTATGAAGCCCGAAGTTTCTTAAGAAGAAAACTAAGAAGAATTGCATAGATTCAAAAAGGGTCGGTTAATATTATGAGGTGAGTTTTTACAACGTTGTGGTAAATTATGTGTTATAATGTTTTACGTAAGTTGCTTTGATGGATGAATATTATGTAGTATATTGGATTCAAAGCAACATGTTAAAATATCATGCTAAGTTTTATTCTAAGTCTGTAATGTTTTATTGCATAATACTACATCCGATAAGGCTGGGTCATCGCTCAAAGCCTTGGACCGGATTGGGTGCTCATCGCCCAAGGTGTTGTCTGGTGAGGGCGTTTATCGCCCAAAGTGTTAACCGGATTGGGCATTCATCGCCCAATATGTCGTCCGACAAGGGCGTTCATCGCCCAAGGTGTTGCCCGGTGAGGGTGTTCATCGCCCAAGTGTTAACTGGATTAGACATTCATCGCCCATGTGTTGGTCGATGAGGGCAACCCATGTGTTATCCAATGAGGGCAGTCATCGCCCACATGCTGTCCGATGATGGTATTCATCACAACAATTATTCTTTGGATGTTCCAAATTTTGTTTGTTATGTTTGTGCATCGTGTTGGTGGGATAACCGCGATAGTTGGTGGGATACCTGCAATAGATGGCGGGACAACCACGATAGTTGGCGGGATACCTACGATAGATAGCGGGACAACCGTGATAGTTGGCAGGATACCTTCGGTAGACGACAGATCAGCTACGATAGTTGACAAGATACCTACAATAGATGGCAAGCCAACCGCGATAGATGGCGAGGCTACCGCGATGATTAGCAAGGTTATCTGCGATAGATGGCAGGATAGCTGTAACAGTTTTAACAACTGAAATCGGGATTGGCGTACGATCTGGGTTGTTTCCCTCTCAACTTTGGATCTTAACCGCCCATCTAAGAGATTTCTTCGTGCCAGGTCGTGAGCTATATGGAGCGCCTTTGGACCCTTGGCCCGCTTAGAAGTGGATTCGAACCACTAACCAGCCCACTAGGCATAAAGAAAACAGAGGATCCCCGTGCTTATTATTTTTATGAATGCGGAAACTTTTATATAAGAGAAATCACTCACTAGACCTTTTGGTCTAACTCTCAGTTATTGTAAAACTTATTATGCAAGTCAGCTCGAGTGGAAAATAAGGGCAAGAGAAAAATGTGATCGGTAGTTGAAGTACTTTTAATTTGTTAGATCAACTTTTGTTTAAGATCAGACTCATTGCTTATATTTATAGTTTTGACTGATCTGTTGTATGTATTGGAACTCGTATTATGTTGTATACACATTTATTATGTTATTAAGCGTTGTGTTGGATTGGTGGTTTATATGGAAGTTGTTAAAAAAGACATCATTCCAACGAATTCTCTATAGTTTTACCAAAAATAGATAATCAAAAACTAAAACCTCTAAATAAATTACATTCAACACCAATAGATTCTCTATTTTGAAAACTTCAACATTAATTATATCATTAGAATTTTCAATGATTTAATATCGCAATAAACTTTATATGAAATGAAAATATCTTCAACTTGATTGGAGGAAACAATAAAAAAACAATCACATTAGATTTTAGAAAATTTTGCAAATTCTTCTCGAAACTATTAGAGAATCTGTTAGAGATGCTATATTTTAATTGTCTATGATAAAAAAAAGTCAATTACTTACCACCGTTGACATTGTAGCTTTTTGAACTTGGATCGGAACTCTTGGAACACAACGGCTACTGTAAACGGCTCCCAAAATTGCAAGCTGATGGTTTGATGTTGGTATATGTGAATCTGACGATTTCAATTCCATATAGATGGGTTTCTAAACTGAGATGCCATTGCTTCTGATAAAAATTTGGTGAGCGATTCTCTGCTCACTTCCTTCTCCCTCTTAAGCTCAAGATGACGAATCTGGATAACATTAAACCACCATTGTTTTGCAACATTCTTATTAGTTAGTTACCGAAAAGATAAAAGGTACCATAAACCATTCACAATTTGATCAGTGGGTAACGAATTTAACAAATATTCATCCCATCAAAGTCGTTACTGAAATCATCAATACCCAAAATAAATGCTCCCTTCATCCCAAAATAATAAAAAATGCACATCATCATAGAAGTATAATTACTACACTTCTTATTTAACTGAATCACAATTTTACCCTTAATGAAAAAAGCAAACGGCTTTAGAAGTATATATTATTCCACTAATGAATTTCTCCATCTCATCAACTCTTACATATTTGGGCATCATAATTAAGGGTAAAGTTGGAAATTTTGTAAATTACAACCATCTATTTGACGAAAGTAGACACTTATTGAACGAAGAGAGTAATATCTTTCTGAATGGGGATCTTTCTGAAGCAGTTTATAAGAAACAGCCTCCTAGTTTTATTGATCTAAAAACCTCATCATGTTTCTCTACTTAAAAAATGGCAATTTACGGACTCAAGCAAGCTCCTCGTGCTTGGTTTTGAAAGCTATCTTCTATGCAAATTATATCTTCTCATCGGTGCTATATACCGCTCTATGACCACATCATCAATACCGGAAGTTCACCTAGTTACGTAACTGATCTGATTCACAAGTTGCATGCTCGGTTTACCCTTAAAAATACTAGGGTTAGTTGAATTGTTTTCTTGGGGTTTGTGCTAATTTTACAGACAAGGGACTATGGTCAAGTCAAACCAGACTGATGTACGCGGTCACTTTGGCTTAGTGACTGTACTCCAATTTCTTCTCCTATAAGCGCCGTGGTAAGCAAATGTGTCAGGCACTTCGGAACTCACTAAACTGATCCTACATGAAGCTTAACAAAGAATGTAAAAAAAAATTATGGGATTGGGAGGGTAGTAACTTTGCATTATTGAAGCTTACCAAAGAATATAGTGTTAGAATTACCTTAACAGATCCTTTTTGAGAAACACCAGTGTCCGATATGATAACAAGGCATTTAATATCATGCTCGTTGGCATACTCGTATTGTTCAGTAAGGCTTGGATCCAACAACGGAACATACTGTGCCTGATAAAGACATCACCGATGTCATTTGAAGGTATACTAGTCAGAAAAACCCCTTAAATTTTAACCACAACCTTTATATCATCCTCCCACAGTTCGGCAACCAGCTCCATGCGCTTCTCCAGTAAACCGCCTCCACCTCTTGAACAAACAAGAATACTTCTGCTAGAATCATTTCTGCATGAATTGTGCAAACATTATCTGATACAAAAGGACAATGGTGATGGAGCTGCAGGTTCGTGAAATAAATAAAGATACCTAAAGGGTCTGTAAATATCGACAGAAGAATGCTGAATGATGGTTTCTAAAGCGAGACTGGTCCCAACTGCTCCTGGAGGATTTGATTTCTGATGGAATCAAAGTACACCATTTATCAACATAAAAATCATATGAAAGGATGAAACAAATTTTATGATTTAGTGCAGCAAAGGACTCATGTATCTTGTGAATACAATGAATAGCATACAACAAGACCCAAATCTCTCTCACAGAGCAAAAACTGTAAGCGAATATTTAGATCAAAAACATAATGCCACATAAAAAGAATTAAGGTTGCTGATTAATAAGAATCCTGATTGCTTGTACAACCACATGACCTTTTGGCCGAAGAGTAACATTGTATACAACCATATACATAAACAAAGATATATATATAATCAGAACCTACATATTCAGATTGCCACATATCGTGAAGGAGATAATCATAGCGACCGCCAACAGCAAGCAAGGTTCCTTCCGTAAGAGAGCCAAGACTATTATCCTTCCTCAAATAAATCTGTTCCAAGAGCATAGAAACATGCTTTCTTAAGTTTTCAAGCTTAACACAATATTTGCACCCCAATGGTGTATATGTATGCTTAGAAGAGCAATGTAACTAATGCCTGAATTGTTAGAAGTAACACTATAACATAGGTTTCCAAGAACATGGAAGATGACCTTAAAAATATATTTACCTGAAAAAATGAATCCCTGTGATAACCCTCAGTGGGTGGCATAAGGGGATCGATGAAAACATGTTTATCAATCCTCCAAGTTCGCAAATAGTTAAAAAGCTGTGAAAGTTCATCAAGTGCCTTCCGGGTAAGTATATCTGCACTACCATCACAGAAACCAAATAAAAAATCCAAAAGATAACAAAGGACTCTATCTTTGTTTGATGACAAACATACCAGCAGGAAGGGCACCTCTCAATCTCGGAAGAGCCTGATCTGCAATTCCACAAAATCTTAACCCCACTGTCTGCAATTTATTGACAGCGCCTTCAGTAATGTTTAGTTCCTGACATAGAAAAATGAGAGTTTTAAAGACCTATTTCAGAAGAGAAGTGCAACACTTTGTATGCTCAAGGGGAAGACATAATATAAAAAGCAAAAAGAATTACAGTAACACTTTAGAGTAGAAAATGCATTGCAGAAGAAAGAAATAATCATTCCACTACATACTGGTGATTTTACTCTCAATCTACGGGTTACATCCACTTTTACTACATTATATCTTTCCTCACTGAGTATCGTTATTGTTGTCAGAGGTCAACGAAAAGCGAGAACCCAAAATATTATTTTGGGTATTTCCACCCATCCAGACTAATAAGTGTCGGAAGATGCTTCATCAAATGATAAAACTGAAATCTCCTTGGTATTTGAATCCAACTGCAATTAAACGACAACCCAAACCAAAAGTTCTTCCACTTGCACTATATGAGTTGATTAACAAAAATAGCAACTGCCCCTAATGGACCAATCAAACCTAAGAGATCAACCACTGAACTACTCGGACGTAATACAGATAAAAAGAACTGTCACAAAACAAAGAAACGAAGTAAAGTTGCAGTGGCAGAAAAAAAGCAAGGTTTTGACCTAGCATCTTACCTCTATTAATTTAGCATGTGAACATGTTGTCAAAACTCTATACACAATTAAATCTATAACAATTAACTCCTGATTCATATAACTACTAAATTCTCATTCCACTAAATCATGAATATCATCAAATCATAAGATTAATTTAAAAATTTTAAGCCATTGTACTTTTTACTACCAAGTTGACCAACAATTCAACTCCTTGTGAATGATCGCACATAAAACAGTCATAGTGGAAGCCAACTTTATGTCTTTGCTTGGATTCTCTTTTTGTATTTCTGCATCATCTTTTTATTTTTTCTTTCCCTATGATTTTCAGAGTAACTTCTTTTTGAGAAACTAGAGAAGAATAGGGTAGATTTATACCCAGAGATGACTCTAGGAGGTTCTAATTGACTCAACATTTCCAAGCAGTAGCTATATGCTCTAGAATCACATATAAAAATGTAAAATGAACCGAACAATAATCGAATTAACCTGTCTAAGCTGACGTCTTATTACGACCCACTTTGTTTTCCTTTCAGAGGACTGGGGACGCAAGGAGCCCAAGACAGACAGAAGCTTCACAGGCAAAAGCATATAACCTTTCAGCAATTTATCAGAAACCACAACATCAGTATTTGTTTAAAAGAAAGAGAACAAATAAACATACTTCTGCTACTTTTTGTCTATGGTCTGCCTTAATCCCAATCCAAGACCAAATTGCTTCTAGAAGATCCCCATGATTCAGATGTATATCACATGATTCTGGATGGAAAAAACGAGTTATGATGTCCATTGCAGCCTGCATATCATGCAAGGGTTGAATCCAAAAATCAGGTCATGTATATCTAAAAGATTAAAGAAGATACAGATGAGACAAAAAAAAATGGTTAAGCAATGTGCTTTTTTATGCCATGTCAGGTGACATGAATTACTTGATAGGATGGCAATGGAGGGCTTGGGTAATCAGGCTGTGTTCGAGAGATGGCGTTGTCACATGCATTGCTGGTTTTTCCATGTGAATTACATTTTGAGGCCATTAACCAGACGCTAACTGGATAAGCGCTTCCCAGTTACTTACCTCACCTGGTGAGCATGGCAAGGACCAAGAATTTTACCCGGTAAGAGGCATGTCAAGGACCGAGAATCTTAGCCGGTAAGTGACGGTGGTGACTTTCACCTGGTTAGAACTTACCAGGTAAGAGACGCTTACCAACAATCTTACTATGCCACTTTGGTGGCCGAGAAACTTAACCGGTAAGGTAAGTGATCTTCCCCGACAAGTGCTTAATAAACAGCCCTTTAAGCTCTTCTTTTTTTTTTGGAAAGAGGCCGCGCCTTACAAGTTTTATAACAAAAAAGAAAAAGTATGCACCTAGATGGCTAACGGGACTCCCATCAAAGCAAGTCCATCTAACGAAATGGGACTTCCCCAAATTTTATTACAGAAAAGGAAAAAATATACACTTAAGCTTCTTTATAGGTTCTATTTGGTATATAATCTGGCAACTGTTACATGGTCTGAAAGAACTTTACACTTGGGGATATAATTATCCATTTAAAATTTAGTCATTACAATCTCATTTTGGAGCCCCAAGAATACAAATTGGCTTCTAGAAAATGCAATAGTATATTCCAATAGACATCAGAGAGAAAAGGTGTGACAAAATATTCTAGTTCCAGTATTTAGTTATTTACCGGAAACTGTTTCCAAAAAGTATCTGCCTATGTGTGTATGGAGAGAGACTAAGTGTATGTAATACCTTGATAACCTCAGCCTCAGTCAGTGCTGAAGCACCCCCAATAACATCGAAGTCTCCCTGCATATGATAAAGTCTTGTTACTGCATAGAGCCACTTTAACATCTTAACTTGCTAATAAGCTAAGACACTTAACCTGGAGATACCGATTTGGTGGGGAATGACCAATTGGTCTACGATATACATAACATATTTCGAATCGTTTGAAAGATGACTTCTGCAACAAGTAAACAAACATTTCAATAAAAGTTATCTTTAAATGTGCAGAAATGACACAAATGACCATCCACAAAAAAAATCCAAAATCAAGCATCTTATCCCTTTTCATTTCTGGATGCATGTGATTGAAATAGAGAACGGATTAGGAGACCCACTGAAGAAGTCAAGGTTATAGACTGGGCTGGTGGCATCAACAGTAATACTAGTATCCAATAAGGAAATTGGTTTTAAATGCTTCCCCTCATAATTAAAGTTCATATCACTTAAAACCACCTAGTATCAAGAATTATTATATTGATTGTATGTAAGATTAACTGATGTAATTTTCAGTGAATACCAACAATGAATTGATTTATTGTTACTCCATCCACTCGTTAATAGACGTCTTCATCAGACTTAGAAAGTCAAAACATAGTTTATCCTGAATCAAAATTAACACACAGATCTACACTTAGCACTAACTGTTTTCCGTTTCTAGTGCTTTCCTAGTAGTTTAATGTAGAACAAAAGTTCATCAAATGCATAATAGGGACATAATTTGTATTTTGTAAAAAAGTAGAATCCAGAGATTTATTTAGTAACAGAGTATATATTTACTTATAACTCAAATAGTGAATTACACATTCCGTCCTTAAGAAAAAAATTGCACTTGCAGAATCTCCTCACATGAAGTGTTTCATGCACATGAGGGTTTTGCTAGTCATTGACATATCATGTTTTAGAGTAGTTGATTACATTTAAAAGGATCAAGTTCTCCCGTCCAGCTCCAAGATTAAGCACAATCCATAGCAACTACTGCTGCCACAAACGCCACCACCACTAAACCCAGAAACAATTGCACACAAACACCCTAAGCAGAGAATATTGTCCATGTGGCGTCATAAGCTCCAAAAGGAGCTCCATTACCAGCTGGACATGAAACCAGAGATGCTGGGAAGTGCTTGGATACACTAATTAATTGCAACACTTACCGAACTGAAAAGTGAAAAAGTCCAATTCCAATTGAATGTTTACCATTCATTTTGGTGTTCTTTTTTTTTTTTGGTTTATATTCTTAATGCAACTGAATTCTTTTTCCGTTTCTAATGAACAAAAATTATCCTTCGATATTTATTTAAAGAAACTGAAGAACTACATAATTTGGAATTCTTCTAGTATTTTGTCTATACTTCTAATAACATATTAAGTTTAACACTCCCTCCATCTCAGAATAAATGTCCACGATGGAAAAGGCACACATTTTTAAGATGTGTAATTATTACATTTTCGATTAACTACATGACAGTTTTACCCTTAATAATAGATGGAATTATAATTGGAAAGTAGGCACTTATTTTGGGACAAACTGAAATAGAAATGTGGATGCTTATTTTGGGACGGAGGTAGTAACTGTTTTAATGGTTTGTTCCCTAGAAAACTTGGCTCTTTCCCAGTCAATGTGTGTGATATGAAATTTCTCAGGACAGTATGCCAAAGTTATAAAATAATGTACTTCCTTCATATATTAAAATGCAAAATAAACAAACGTAATACTTTTACAATGAAGCAGGCTCATTATCGTTTCGGTTCATATCCGGTGTGGACGTTAGAGCATTGAGAGGACCTTTCCCTAGTACGAGAGGACTGGGAAGGACGCACCTCTGGTGTACCAGTTATCGTGCCCACGGTAAACGCTGGGTAGCCAAGTGCATCCATCTATAACTTATTAAAATAGTATTTATTAGCGTGTGGGTTCATACCTGGTTTAGAACAACCCAATTAATAAAGGGCAAACGCAACTCATGGCAGAGTTCTATCATGTCTCCACCATTCGTCAAAAGCTTAACGGCGTTCCTTCACATATAAAATCAACTATCAAGTAAACATTCGCATGCTTGACCAAAACTCAAATATGCATGAAATGTAAAAACCAAATATTTCAAAATATTTACAATGTAAGCACTTGAGAATTTGAAATATTTAAAAATGAACAAAAAGAGAAAAATACCTATTGAATTGTAGAGAATCTCCTACCAAACGCATTGGAATTATTTCCAAACGCTTTGCGCAATGTAACCTAAACACTGCAGCAGATATCTCCTGAACCAGATCATGCATTTCAGTGTCCAAGTCTGTATGATGTATGGATGAAGTGTCATTTCCACCTAACTTTGGTACTGCAGCATTGTTATCATGGTTTTTGGTGCTCAATGTCTCCTCATTGAAGATAGCATTCACAACTTTATCGTAGATGCTGGTGTCCTCAGAATTATGCATTGTTCGTAAAATATCTGCAAAATAATGGGAAACCTGTGAAAACTATATAGAACAGAACCAACTGTGAACTGACACACATTAAATTTTCCTTTATAAAAATGAACATCTAAACATTTGAAAATAATATTTACCCTTATTATTTAATTTTATTATTTAAAAAACATCATTGATTGATAGCTACAAATACAGCCATATGATATATAAAACTTTATCTAGATTTTCATTTTAGTCAGTGATTTCATAAATTTATTATAAGAACAATTAAGCTTTTGATTATATTTTTCAAAAACAGTTAATTTCTTTGTGCACCTATGTATATATAGTTGTTATTTAAGCAATCATTTTATTAAAAACAATTGTAATATAAAATCATTTTTTAAATTTTTAAAATTTTATATTAATTGCATTTAATTTTTTCGAATTATTCTTTTAATACAACAAATAAATTATACATTTAGCAGTCTCTAGAAACAAATTCAAATTTTATTTCAATTGTAAAAACTTATATATATTAAAATTTATTAAAAAGATTGTTTAAACTCAATTGTATATGATTACATAAGAATACTTGGGCATTCCTTGACTATAATAAAAATATAATGGAACTTCTACAATTTTGGAACGTGTTTACCTATTCTCTTATTGAACTTTGGCCCAAAATGTTGAGGTTTAGATGTACAAAGATTTGTTTTTGGATTCTGAAAGTTGAGTGAATAAAATACAAATAGCACAAAAATATGATGATTTTTCATGCATTTAACCCCTGGAATTATGCAATAGACCTTAACCAAAAGTTGAGAAGGACAATATTCAAGAGCTTTCTGCATCTTGCAAATTTAGCACAAGGAAGTAACAAGAAAAGAAAGTGTAAAACTACTAATTACTTACTGTCTAACAATTCAGACTCCATTCGTGGAGGAAAAGCATGTTGGAGGAGTTCTGTGGCAGACGGACGATCTGATGGACTTGAGGACATCATATGGCGTAACAATGAAGCCTGTTCTGGAAACTCCTCAACCCAATCCAAAGGAAGTTCTCCCTTCTTTTTTAAGTCCGAAAGAACAATATGCCGCTCCATCCCAGTGCTAAAGGGATGCCAAAGCTCAAGAAATACAATTCCTAAGCTATACATATCAGCCTGAGAACAAGAATAGACAGAAATGAGCAGAAGAGCTGCAATCCACACAACTGGCACTTTTGGCCACTACAGTTAAAAGGTACTAGGAACTTCAAACATGAGATGCAATAACTAGTAACAACAGTGATGTGTCAGTAGGTTGGGTGTCTATGGCTTGAAAAGGGCAGACTATCCAATGCGCTTGTTATCTTTGAAATATCTTCCTGTCAAGAAAGTTAATGAGAAATGGTAATTTTCCAGTTGGAAGCCACTGGTTTGCTTTTGTGGGATGCTAACTTTTGGCAAACAATAACAAGAGTTGTTGCCTTTTCCTATCAACTTTTGACTAGCGACAAGCCTAATGGCCACACCTCAAAATTTTTATTTCTTAATTGATACATCAGTAAGATAATGAACTATGGAAAATGACAGTTGCCTAACTGATTTTCTCCAACCAAAATACATGCATAAATTAAAACATACTCACTTTCTCATTAATTTTTGGCCATCGCTGCTCAATTTCTGGTGCAGTATAAAAATAAGTACCAATTTGACCAGTACCATCAACTGACACTCCAGTTGTTTCTGCAGGATCTAAATCCTGTTCCAACTGCTCCAGCTTCAAGAACTTAGCTGAGACAATGAAGAGAAATTATTCATAACACATCCTGTGCATCTTATTTTTCAGTTCTATTTATTTTTGAATCACTAGACGGGGGCATTCATGAAACAGCCGCTCTACCCATTCACTAGCTGAATACATTCCCCGCTCCCCCCCCCCCAAAAAAAAACCTACTGTGACCATGATACACTGGGTTTGTTTTGGCTTGGTTTTTTGTTTTTGCAGCAGTTCAGTAAGTCAAATATATACAGCAAAGCTTCCACAAGTCTAGTTTCCAAAGGTAATATGCAATATATATGAGGCTTGAGTGATGATACATGTGTGTAAAACACATGACAAAATAGTATGATATTCCATAAAGCCAGATGTTCACGGCATGTACTAAAATGAGCTTGTGAAAAGATAAGTGCATTAACAATATGAAATTCAAAGTAATGTAGCTTACCAAGACCAAAATCCCCAATTTTAATATCATTGCGAGCATCAAAGAAAATGTTATTTGGAGTCAAGTCACGGTGGATAATTCCTTGGCTATGTATGTGTGCCAAACCTTCTACAATTTGACGAAACAAGTGCCATGCCAGTTTCTTGTCAAAGTGACTATAAGATTCAAACATCTGCCGGAGAGTCCTTTGTATACACACACAAAAAGAAACAAATCAATACAATACCAGAAGTATATGATAAAGTTGATAACAAATAACCATGGCATCAACAAAATTAAACATGAGTTGGTAACTGTGGAAATCCGATTAATTATGATTCCATTCACATGTTTAAGTTTGTTGGGATAGACTTCAATTTCATTGTTTTCTGTTAGATTAGCTTGTTGTGTGGTCATCTTTTTTCTGTTTCCTAGTTTCGTGGGTAGGTTGTTGAGCTGCTGGCTATTTATTTACTTCCTGTATTTCGTATTGATTCGTTCAATTAATTAGAGAGAAACACTTTTCTCCTATTCCCAAAATCCATATCGTATCAGAGCAACTCTAATCCATCTCACAGTCATTAAGAATAATGACTAAATACATCAGTTCTACCAAGGTAACCGAAACAGAAGGTTCTAGCACAACCCAAGGATCCCAAGTGATGCCTAACACCACAACCAGTCTCACCGGGGATGGGATAGTTCCCATCGCTGGACACAAGCTCACTGGTCAAAACTACAATCAATGGTCCCATTCTGTGATGATTTTCGTCTGCGGGAAAGGGAAAGAAGACCACCTAACCGGCGCAGCCTCTGAATCAAAAGATGATGATGCAAGGTACAGGACTTGGAAGATTGAAAATAACATGGTGATGTTGTGGTTCTTGAACTCCATGACCAATGAGACTGGTGAGAATTTCATGTACTACAGGACAGCAAAAGAAATCTGGAATGCTGCCGAGATACCTGTTCAAACAAAGATAACGCCTCGGCTATCTTCGAACTCAAGGGAATATTGTATGATCTACGGCAGGAGGAAAAGACAGTCACGAAATACTTCAACTTGTTGATCCGTTATTGGCAACAGTTAGATGTGTTGGATGATGTCTCATGGAACTGCCCCCTTGACCAGAAACAATACAGGGAAATCCAGGAGAAAGGACGAGTTTATAAGTTCCTACTTGGATTAAACTAGATGAAGTTCGTGGGAGAATTCTAAGCAGCAAGCCGCTGCGTAGTGTGAGGGAAGCCTTCTCTGAGGTTCGACGTGAAGAAACTCGGAGGAAGTTCATGTTGGGATCTACAACCACTGAAGGGTCTGCATTGGTGGCAAGAAAGGGAAACAACTTCACCATACCACAAGGCTTCCGAAACAATGAATCCCAAAGCACTCCAGGCCCGCGATCTGGCTGCCGTCCTTGGTGTGATCACTGCAAGATCCCCGGTCACACAAATGGGATTTGCTAGAACATACATGGAAGACCCCTGGGTAAGATACCATACCGACCGTCCGGTCATGCAACAGCAACAGAAAACTCTTCGTTTAGTCAGGAGCAAATGGAGGTATTAAAGAAGATGCTTCAAACCACCATTCAGTCAGCAATTGGAGAAAAAAGTATAGCTGCCATGGCACAAGGTGAGCACTTACTGGCTGCCCTAAATGCGAAACTAAACACAGGTGAGTGGATTGTGGACTCTGGGGCCATGGACCACATGACTGGAGACATCCAGGTATTCCATAATCTCCAACCAAATGCAACTGGGGCTAAGGTTCGGACAGCTGATGGTTTGCTATCCGATGTAAAAGGATAGGTTCGGCTTATATCACCAAAGGCATCACTCTCAACTCTGTGCTTTATATCCCTAACTTGACTTATAATTTGATGTCTATTATCAAGCTTATGAAAGATCAAAACTGCATCACTAAAATGTCTCCTGTTGTATGTGAATTTCAGGACTCGGTCTCCGGGAGGACGATTGGCAGTGCTAGAACTCATGGAGACCTCTTTCTACTGCAACCTGATTCTGCATTTAATTCACCTAGGAAACCTACGAATAAGTGTTTTCAATGAAGCCAACAAAGGAATGATCTTTTTTTATGGCATCGTAGATTAGACATCCTAATCTTATGTACCTAAAAAGGCTATTTCCTGAGTTATTCAATAAAAGTTCTATTCTGTTTCAATGATAAGTGTGTCAACTCTCTTAAACATACTCGAAATCAGTAACCAATTCAGCCCTATAAGGACTCACCCATTTCATTTGATCTATAGCAATGTATGGGGACCATCTAGAGTAAAGAACTTATCTGGATCTAGATGGTTCGTTTCCTTCAGCGATGATCGTACTCGTGTCACTTGAATCTTTCTTATGAAAGAAAATCCGAGGTTAGACACATCTTTCAAGATTCAGGTGCTAAATACAGATAACGGAAGTGATAAGGAAGTATCTGACTGAAAATGGGATTCTTCATAATAGCTCATGTACCGGCACCCGGCAACAAAACAGAGTCGCTGAAAGGAAAAAAAAACCTCTCCGAAGTGGCTCGCTCTCTCCTTATATCTCACGTTCCATCACTTTTTTGGGGAGATGCAATACTATCAGCAGCCTATCTGTAATATTCGGTTTAAGATATATATGGTCGAGTTTCAAAGATTGATAGAAATGGAAAGTGCAGGGGTAAAATGTGGCAATTGATGTATACAGAGGGATCAACGATGCAATATTTGTCACCTCCTTGTGACAAAAAAAAGTTGGTCCAATAATTTGATGTATTTTGTGATGTGTATGGGGGGGGAGGTGCATGCCCATGCMCCGCCTCAATCCCCCCCCCCCCTTTCTTTCTTCTTACTATATATAGTAAGGGATAGGTACCGCGGAAGTTTCTTTTACTGAAATTTTTGAAACGGAACTTTAAAAAATTGGTGATCGAAGGGAAGAAGGCAGAAGCATTTCTTGAAATAACAGACAAAGGTGAGTTTCTATGGCTTGATAAATTATGAGTTATTACCTTTTACATTGTAGCTATTTGGTTTTACCATGTTAGATATTGTATTAAGTGTCAAAATGACATTGTATCAAGACTGGTTCAAAACTTCATCGGTCAAAGCTTTATCCGATAAGGTCCCCTCATCGCTCAATGTGTTAACCGAATTTAACCCTCACCGCTCAAAGTGTTGTCCAGATTTGACCCTCACCGCTCAAGTGTTGTCCGATGAGACCCCTCACCGTACAAGTGCTGTCTGATAAGGACCCCTCACCGATCAAGTCTGTCCGATGAGACCCCTTATCGACCAAGGGTTGTCCGTGAGACCCCTCACATAAAGTATCGTCCAGATTAACCCTCATCGCTCATAATATTGTTAAAGATGAAATGGCGGTGTAACCGCGATAGATGCAATGGCGGTGTTACCGCGATAGATGCAATGGCGGTGTAACCACGATAGATGAAATGGCGGTGTAACCGCTATAGACGACTGTTAATTTATCATAAAAAATAAAGTTTGAATTGTATTAGATTATTACAGCAGATTATATTTGCAGGACGGAGATTCACTCACTAGACCTTTCGATCTAACCCTCAATTGTTGTAATAATTTATTTTGCAGATCATCAAACATCACAGGATAAAGGCAAAGGAAAGTATGGAAGAAAGTCTTGTTATGACAATTTTTTTTTGTTAATCCATGTTGTTGGCTTGTCATATGTAAATAAGTTTGAAATGGTTGTAACTATTGAAACCTGATGTATGTTAAAGCATGAATTTTGTTTGTTAGGATTGTTTCATTTGGTATCTGAGCCTTAGTTTAAGAGATTTGGGTACTTTTCTGATACCCAGACTTAAACTAGAGGCGTTAAGTATGTGATAATAGGTTCCACTGGGATTTCGGACTGGGAATGTGTTATAATTGGACCTATTATGATGATAAGTATGGTAGAGTTGGATTACACGAGATTAATGTAATCTTGAGCTGCAGATACCTGATTTAAGCGTAAGCATGTTATCATAATTCGGCATGTGATTGATTGTATACGTATTTATTATGGCGGTAAAGGAAGTTAAAGTGTTGCAAGTATTAAGTAAGAATGACAGATAATCCTAATCGTCCTGGAAGTACTTCTACGGGCCATGGAAGAGGCAGGGAAGAGGAATTTTGAATACAGAAGAAAATCCAGAAATTGCTACAACCATTGAAACAAGAAGTCGAGGTCGGGGTCAAGGAAGAGGAAGAGGTATTCAACAAGAAATTCATACAGAACAGGAAATGTCAATACAAGAAAGCTCAATGTCAGGTCATGGACGGGGCAGAACAAGGGGCAGAGGTCGTGCTCATAACCCAGGGTTTATTACCCAGGAGATGTTAGCAGCTGAACTGGGAAAAATTCAGAACAATCTAGTAAATTTGCTAGGGCGTTCCACTTAGTATAATCCGGAAGGAATGGAGAACCCGAATTTTCGTGAAGCAGCCGGAGAAAGTACACCGGTAATGACTACGTCTGCACCACCTACTTCATCTTCGGTACAAAAGAGAGGTGATATCAAGATGTTTCTTGCATGCAAACCCCCTAAGTTTTCCGGAGAGCGTGATCCCGTTAAGGCCATGTATTGGCTTAAGGAGACTGAATTAAGTCTAAAGACTAGCAAAAATGCGGAAGAAGATAAAGTAATGTTTGTCGTATCAAGGTTGCGGTCAAGTGCACTATATTGGTGGGAAATCATGTTGAGCTCTCATCCGAACATTTTGAAGACAATGTTGTGGGAAGAATTAGTAGTAAAATTTAAAATTCAGTATTGTCCTGAAGCTGTTGTTTGAAAGCTAGAGAACACTTTTCTTCGATTAAAGCAAGGTAACATGACATTTCKTCAGTACACTGAAGTGTTCATGGAATAGTCCCGATTTGCTGAAGCCTATGTTGCTACTGAAAGCAGCAAAGTAAGGAAATATATTTGGGGTTTTGAGTCTAATCTCCGAAAGTATGTAATTTCTAGGAACCCGGTTACATTTCAAGCGGCAGTTGATGCTGCATAAATTTTGGAGCAGGATATCAACCGTCAACCACAAGAAAGGGTCGGGGAGAAAAGAAAAAGGGAGGCAATAGCAACCGATTTCCGTAGACCTAGATTTGTTGAAGATCTGAATCGTCCAATGTCAAGGTTTGTTGATAAAACATGTCATAAAATACATCAAGGAGAGTGCAACACTGA